GTTTTGAGTCACCGAAAGTTAAAACACATGAGATGAAATGCTGGCAAGGGCTCAATGAGCGATTACTGGTGGTGCAGGCTGATTGGCTCCCTCTTTCTCTTTGCTTCGCAGAAGATCACCTGGAAGACAAAAGACGTGGAGAAGTGCACTGTGAGGGGTAAGAACAGCGTGAGTATCGGGACGTTTCCTGGTGGTTTCATTGCAAGTTAGAACGACCAATCAGCTGTTTCTATCTGAAGCCCCGTCTTGCTCATTTAGTTAGTTACTCAGTAAGGATCCCTCGATCCCAAAATCACGTCTTCCCACTAAAGAAGTGGCACATTAAACGTTAAGCGCTCCCATCCATCCGTTTCCTACCCACCACATCCACTTGAGGGTCACGGAGAGCCTGGGGTACAAGGCGGGGTTCGCCCTGGATGGGACTCCAGTCCATCGCAGGGCAGACGCACGCGCTCGCACCAGGCCGACTCCCCCCAGAAGCCAGTTATCCCACCAGCCTGTCTCTGGACTGTGGGAGGGTTCCGGAACAACCGGAGGAAATGCATGCAAACACGGAGAGACAAACAAGCCACCGCCCCAGGTCTGGATTTGAACCCAGGACCCCCCAGTGCTCCAAGGCAGCAATACTAACCTCTGCGCCACAGTGCTGCTCAAAATGTATCCCAGGCGGATTATGTTTTCCTGCAACAACAGAGCTACATTACAATCGGGAGGTAGGATTAACAATTAGTGCGGTCGCTCCAGTGCAGCCTAATTTGGCGGGGTTGTGCTATGAGCTTCCCCATCTCGTCAGGTCATGCGCAGTGTCGAAAGGACATTCGGCTTCCTGGATAAGAAAAGGCACAGTCCTAAATAATTTCAGCTTCCTAAATAAAATAAAGACCCGCAGGCCAGGCCCTATAATGGGATGCGGATTAACCCCCAGGTCCCCAGGGGGCGCTCACGCGCACCGCTGACGTCTCTCCCCACGCGGTTCTCTCCTGCAGGACGAGTGCTACAACTACATCAAGGTGCTGGTGCCGCGGAATGACGAGACGCTGTTCGCCTGCGGGACGAACGCCTTTAATCCCACCTGCCGAAACTACAAGGTAGGGGACCTGAAACGCCGGCCTTCCGTGTCCCGAGAAACTGAAGAGGAAGGGGTTCTTTTCTCAAAGCCCCCCGCCGGCGGGGCGGCAGTGGTGCGGCGCCCCGCCCAGCGCGCGTGCTCCGCGAGGCTGCGGCCTGGTTGGCGGAGCGGGCGGCGGCGGCAGCAGCGGCGCATCGCAAACCACCAAAGGCCTGGCGTTTCTCCCGGCGGCCGTGAGCGACATCTGCCGTCAACCAGATGGGCCCACTGGTGGTCGCCGGTCGGGATCTCGACCAATGACCAGAAAGAAATAGGCACCCGCTGCTGAAGTATTTTCAATTCCGGGTGGTGAAGAGCTGTATTATTCCAGAAACCCCGCTGCTTATGGGGTTTTTTCTACAGAGTCTTCTTAAGGTTCATAGAGCAAAGCCTTCCTCCTCTTGCATTGTGTTATTTAAGAGCAATGAAATAAAAATGGCGCAGGACCAAGCCACGAGATAACAGTTCGCAAGAAGGCCTTTTAACACCTCACCAGCGGAGTCGCAACCAGAGTCTGAGCCTCCAGGGAGCATTTTACAGCGCAGGGAAGGGAGGTTTTAGAACGATCATATCCGCTACCTTCGAAAACTGGAGGCGTCTGTAATTTGGTGACACTCCAAACATCATGAAGACTGGCAGCAGCGTAGCGAGGCTATTAGCTCTTGTCTGAGTTCGACGGTGTACCTTTCCACCGGTGCCTCGGTGCTATTTTGAGCCTGCTCTGGCGCGGTTACACAAGGCTATTTCTGTCCCACCGCTGCTTTGAATCCAGCAGTATTAGCTGAGTGAGTTTGCGCTGCTGGCAGCTGGCGCTACCTGAGTGAGTGCGTTCTTTCTTTTGGCCGTGTGTATTTGAACAGACTGCCTCATGCAAGCTATAATAAGCTGCCTCAGCTCTGTTTGATATAGTTTGACAACGGATAAGTCACTTACTGCCGAATATATACATGTATAAATGCAGATACATAGGTGTAGTTGCCCATGTATGTGAATTTAGGGGGGTTACGGACAAATACATGTAGACCGATTTATGCAGGCAGAGGGTTTATGAGAGGCTGTGAGTGGAAAGGAAAGGTCAAGGAGAGAGGGAGAGAGAGAGGCGGCCATGAAATGATAGAGGGATCTGAAAGGGTAGATGAGGGAAGTGAGGAAGAGGGAGAGGAGGGGGAAAGTGAGGGTGAAAGAGGAGGGGGGCGAGAGAAGGGTGGGCTCACAGTTACCGAGCTGTCTTCTCAAGTGTGTGCGTTTCTTTCTGACGGAGGGCATGCTTCATTAACACCAAGTGCACAGGCTGACATCAAGCTGAGAGCAGGATGTACCTCACACAAACTGGCATGGATTTGTCACCCATGATGACAGATAACGAAGCTCCTCACGCAGAAGGCCTTAGGACTCGTGGCGCACTTTCCTCAGCTCGACTTGTACACCCGGCCGCCTGTGATGTGTGGAAGTGGTTCTTGTCTCTGCTAACGAGATTGCTTGCTGTGACAATGAAACAGTCGCGCGTCGCCGTTGCGGTGCACCGAAAGGTGTCCTGTTCCTCTGCAATCTCTTACCGCCACCTTGCTTGCATCGGTTTTCCAGATGGCCACCCTGGAGCAGGAAGGTGAAGAGGTGGTCGGCCAGGCACGCTGTCCCTTCGAATCCAGGCAGTCCAACGTGGGCCTGTTCGCTGGTGAGTGCCCCGTGACCCCTGACCTGATGTTAACTGAGGTCAAAGGTCGAAGGTCTCGTGTGCATGGGCCAAGAAGAGAGGACACATAGGGTGCCTTCTGGGGAGCTGTTTCCGTTTGATTTAATTTTGAAGTCGTGTAGTTGTCTGCCTCGTGATCAGATACTGGAAGAGCGTTGCTCTGGTCTCGGAGGACCAGCGGGTGGCCCCAAGGTCAAACTCCAGAAAACTACAGGTGTGATGCACCACACCTGGGCCTTTGAGGGCAGACCGTGAAAATCAGAGTGCACCAGTATCTGAGGATGCTTAGGGCCTAGTGCTCCAGCGCCTACGTGCTGAAGAACCTTGGTCCAGGTCTTCCTGGTGTTCCCATTGCAGCCGGTGTTCCTATAATTGGGATTGACCCCTCCCCGGGAATCTCTTTCAGGAGGCAATTTCTATTCCGCTACCATGACGGACTTCCTAGCCAGTGACGCAGTGATCTACCGCAGCCTGGGAGAGAGCAGCCCTGTCCTCCGTACGGTGAAGTATGACTCCAAGTGGCTCAGAGGTGAGAGAGTCAGCCTGTCTTCCATATTACTGGGGAAAACACTCATATACCACAGAGCCAATAACTAATAACCCAGGGCTCGGCTGCGTCCATCATACTGTATGAACTGTTCATTTTTGTATAAATTGATAAATGTTTTTAGTTATTATTGACAATGTGTAAGATCTGAGCGGTAAGGTAGCAATGTCGTTGGTGTCTACCCAGGGACGGTGCAAATTATCCTCCTGCTGTTGAAAATACAGTTCTGTTTTTGCCTTATAGCTGACACATTATTGTGACAAATAACATAATATGCACCTTACTGTGCAAAGCTGGAGGCATGTGGAGCCTTTTGATAGGCTTAATACAAAATCTAGTGTGAGGACCAGTTTATTATTTTCTTGATACTTTGGTATCAGAACCCCTTAATTACAGAGGACTCCTATATTAGCCTGAAATCTGTTAATACTATTCTCAAGGAGATGCCATGTTCTGTGTTCTACATAGCGTTAAAGATGGCACTGGAGAGAGACAACATCTTACATGCTGCTCCTCACAGAACGTACTCTGTCGTGTTAAGTATTGTTATTGCATTGTTTTTGCATACAAACTATTCCTGCAGTAATCCCATACGACTGACATGCTCTTTAGATCAAGAGTGCCTGACTGACTCTCTGCACATGTGTGTCTTGTCCCCATCAGAGCCGCACTTCCTCCACGCCATCGAGTACGGGAACTATGTGTACTTCTTCTTCAGCGAGATCGCGGTGGAGTACACCACCCTGGGCAAGGTGAGGGCTGGCATGGGATCCCGTTACCACGTGATAAACACAACCTCCCACTCTTTCTGCCCTCCTCCTCCTCTTCCTCTCTCTGTCCCTGGCTTCCCTCTCTCACCCTTCCTCCCTCTGTGCCAGGTGGTGTTCTCCCGCGTGGCCCGCGTGTGTAAGAACGACAACGGCGGCTCTCCCCGCGTGCTGGAGAAGTACTGGACCTCCTTCCTGAAGGCCCGTCTTAACTGCTCCGTTCCCGGAGACTCCTTCTTCTACTTCGACGTGCTGCAGTCCCTCACCAACGTGCTGCAGATCAACCAGCGGCCGGCCGTGGTGGGGGTCTTCACCACGCAGGCCAACAGGTGACCGCCCCCCTTCCTGACCGCGGCATGCAAGCGTACGACTGAGATTTCAGGTCACTACCCCCCTGCCCTTGGAGGGCCGTGTGCAGTGCCTCACACATACACGCATGCTGTCTCGCACAAAGTCACTGTGAGAGATTTGCGGGCAGAAAAGTCACTAATCTCTACCAGGTACAGACAGACAGGCGGGCCCATATACTTAATTGATGGTTTTACAGCTGCTATCACTCTGCTTGGCAGAAATGGCAGAGATTCTGCAGGCATGCCTTGTTGCTGTTGTGTGGGAGAGGGGGAAATTAAGACTGGCTCAAAAGGGTTCCTGTCACTGCCACTGCTGATGTTCTCTCTCTCTCTGCGTTTCTCTGTGGGCTCTCTTAGCATCACGGGCTCGGCGGTGTGCGCTTTCTACATGGACGACATCGAGAAGGCGTTCAACGGGAAGTTCAAGGAGCAGAAGAGCAGCGAGTCTCCCTGGACGGCGGTCTCTGAGGACCAGGTCCCCAAGCCCAGGTGAGTGCCTGGGCGGGGGTGGGGGGGGACAAGCGGCACTCCTGAAGTTATGAATCGGGAAAGATCTGGAGACCGTCGGACAGGAGCGCTACGGAGGGGTGACTTTTCGACTCCCTGTCTTCCCCCTCTCTCCAGGCCGGGCTCCTGTGCGGGAGACGGTCCCGCCGCCTCCTACAAGTCCTCCACCAACTTCCCGGACGAGACCCTGTCCTTCATCAAGTCCTACCCACTCATGGACGAGGCCGTGCCCTCTGTCAACGACAGGCCCTGCTTCACCAGGACCAACAGCCGGTAAGACCATCGCTGGGGAGAGGGAGGGGGCGCCACACTGACTGATGTAACGTCAGCAGCTGCAGCAGGCGCTGCACTTTAAAAGGAGCTTTTAGACCATAGTCATCAAAAAGCATTTAGTAAATTGAAGGATTGAAGGAACTTGACTGATGACTAGATGCTGGTGGCATCAGATGTGACTCAGCTCTTGTTGGAATATTGAAATGTGGCGGCAATGCAGGTCTGAAGCCTTTGAGGCCTCCTCTGTTTCCGTTCGCTCTAAGGCCTGTCAAGGAGGCCCAGCTGTCAGTTTCAAAGGGTACAAGGTGCGTAAAGCAGCTGAATGAGGGAACCTGCAGGACAGTGGGCCGCTGGTACCGGAGATCATTTCGGACCAGAAAACTTAAAGCATCATGTAGAAGAGAAGCCATGTGTTTCCTTAGTCCATGTCATGCCATGCCCCTCCCCTCCCCCCACCACTGTCTCCACTCCCACCCAGGTGTGTTTCCCTCTTTCAGGTACAAGCTGACCCAGATCGCCGTGGACACGGCCGCCGGTCCCAGTAAGAACCACACCGTCCTGTTCCTGGGCTCGGAGGACGGCAGGGTGCTCAAGGTCCTGGCCAGCACCCACCCTAGCGCCTCCTTTGGCACCCAGCTCCTGGAGGAGATCGACGTCTACAGCCCCGCGAAGTGAGCGCTCGCCGGGGGGCCGGGGCCGTGAGAGGGAAGGGGTGCCTCAACATGCCAAGTTCACTGTGCCGTCGGCACACACAGCACCGCGCCCCGAAGGAGACTTCTGTGGGGCTCTAGTCGATTACAGGGAATTCAGTGCAGTACCCTTAGTGTCGCCTCCTGAGCTACCACACCTTCCCCAGGTCCAGCCAGAGCTCCCCCACCTGAACACTAAGCCCTCGTGAATCCGAACTGGGATCCTATACCTCAAACCCTTAAACTCGCTCCTACCCTAACCCTGACGCCAGCATAAGCATTACCCCTCTCCCAGTTTCGAGCGCTCAAAATCTAGGGGACGTCGTTCAGTAGATACCAACTGCTTCTCTGTGGCTCCTTGTGAGATTCAGTTTTAGGTAGAAGTCAAACATCCGAATCTCTGCCATCTTCATTGCCTGGCCTGCCATGTTGTCCCCTAGGTGTGTTCTGTCCCTCACACCTGGGTGTTCGTGCTCTCTCTCAGGTGCAATGTGCGAGGGGAGGACAGGAGGATTCTGGGACTGGAGCTCGACAAGGACCATCATGCCCTGTTCGTGGCCTTCTCCAGCTGTGTGATACGCATGCCGCTGAGTCGCTGCCAGGACTACGGCACCTGCAAAAAGTGAGCAGAAGCCCGTAGACAAAAATATCGGTCTCTAAAGTTTTTTTTAAGAACTTCAGCTGTATAGGCTGCAGTATTTTTCTGTGTTGTGACCTCCTTGTTTGGAGTAGCTACTGTAGTTCGTCTCGAGATCAACTTTTATGACCACAGCTACTGCACCTCTGGAGGATGGAATGTGGGCCTGTAAATTTCGGCTCCCTCTTTCTAGATGCAATCTCTACCAATCGGTGCTAGAGAACCTTCCCGCTGAATTAAAAGCATTTGATCTGATAAAAATCCAGCTTAGAAAATGCTTTCATAGCTAGATCTGAGCAAGATAAGTCTCTCCAGCGTTATTGGGTTAAAAAAATCCCATTACTGCACACCTGCAGAGCAGCACAGGAAGGATTAAAATGAGATTATCATCTTTCAGTTGGGAAGTCAAGTGTCAATCTGTGATAGCTTTTGCTTTAAAGTCTTTATGTCTGTTGAATTAAATCAGTTCTGTCTTAAGCCCCACTTTCTTTCAGACAAAATCATGTATTGGAGTGTCTAATAGGAGCGTGAGAGAAAGGCTGGTCCCTACATCCTAGCAGCTGTAGGTGGGCAAGAGAAAGAGCCTTTGCTTTGACTTTTTGCAGTGAGAACAAACACGCAGTTGGTTCCCTTAAGGCCCGAGTCAAGTCAGTGAACACGCCCATTTGGAATGCCAACCACATGGCGTGAAACAGAAGTAGCCAGTCCTGGTGCGGGTCACGGCATTAGCTGACTGGCCGAGATCTCAAGTTAGGTGGCCGCTTTGCGCGGGAGGTTGTGCTACTCGCACAGTTGATCAGAGTATCCCCCCCAACTAGGCAGCAGAGCCCCCTCGCGATCACCCCCAGGCTGAGAGCCCGCTGTGCCGTCCGTGAGCGTTGTTACTTCTCCCTTGGGTGCCTCAGCCCCACTGTGGCGGTGATCAGTGCTTCCTCACAACTCCAGGGTGCTGGGTTCGACCCCCGCCTGCGTGTTGTCTATATCTTTGCAAGTCGAGATTGAAGACTGCTCTGAATTGTGGGGGGGGGCCTCAAGGTCTTTTCATCCTTGGGGGATCCTTTCCTAGCACAGGGATTCGTGGCACTATGGAGAGAGAGAACGGATTGAGCCTGAATGGCCGAATGCCTTCCTCTCACTTGTTGCCTTACTAGTGTGCACTTCTAATGCGACGTTTGCACCGCCAATCCGCGCTAATCTGAGGTGTTGTAGCAGTCGATCTGCATGTATTAACAGCCCATTTAATTAGAGCAAGAGTGAACGACGTACCTATAAAGATGTGCTCGCTGAGCAGCGGGTCCCAAGTGGGAAAGAAAAAATTCACACATTTGTAAAGCCAGCCAGCTCAAGAATAAATCTCTGATGTTTGTTGGCTGTTTTGTCTTCTGTCAGGACCTGAAAACACTGTTATTGCCAGGTGTTGCTTTTGAAATAGATGCAGAAGTGCGTTTTCCCTCCATAATTGGTCTGTGAAGAACAGTGTTGTGAAAATAGCGTTGCGGTATGAGACTGCCCTGTCAAGAGAGAGCACTTTGTTCTTGTCTTTTTTTCTGAATGACGTAAGGGTCTGGTTCTGGAGACCCCTAAACCAGTAAATCTAAGAGGACCCCCCCTATATCACCATTTTGCGCTTCTAAAGATCAAGAAACTCTGTATCGATTAAGTAAGTGATTGGTTTAAGGTCTGATTCTTGTGGGATGAAGTGGATTCGGGTTTCTGAAGCAATTTATGTGAAGCAGTCGCATGCATAGTTTCTCATAGTTGTTGCCTGTCATTCAAGATCGATGATTTAATAGCGTCCTGTAAAACCGGCTAGATTGGGGATCTCCAAGACCAGATACAGACCCCCCACCAATATAAACTCTGTATCAAGGGTCACTCACTCCTGCAGTCTACGTTGTTACAGAATTTTGTGACCAATGAAAATGAATTACCTTATCGATGATGGGATTATACAATCAAGAAAACTGGGGGGTTGGTTGTATGTGTCCAGTGCAGTGGAGTACTAAGGTCTCAAATTGAGTACGTCTGCCTCCTCGTCAAATTCTCAAGACCCCCAAAGAGGGAGAGTGACCCGTTCAAGAAAGCTGGAGTGTAAACTATGTCACACCCTTAAGGAATCTGGCAGTGGCTAGTGGCTGCACACTGTTCTCCTCAAGTCTTCTTGCAGAGTCCGAGGCGATGCGATTCTCCTTCAGCTGCGTGATTAAAGACACCCCATGCAGTCTGGTCGCGTTCCCAGGTCATCTGCAATGCTGCAGTGTCCCTGTTCACATCACCCCCCCACCCCCACCACCACCACCACTCCCCCCAGGATCTCCCCGAGAGAGGGGATGTAGGGGTTTTGATTGACAGGGCTGAAGACAAGATGGTGACCCCTGCCCTGTGGTGGGACTGCACACTGACAGGACCGTCCCTAGTCGCCTCATCCAAGCTCAGTCAAACTGCCAGGCTGACGGAGCAGTTGTGGCGACTCCAGCAAACCTCTCCATGTCCCTCCTGGTGTCTGTCAAAAAAAAAAAAGCCTACTGCTTGTGATTCAACATGAGACGCTAGTCGTTTTTTTAATTGGAGCCACAGTGTGCAGTCAGAGGCTTTTTGAACTGTCACATTCAAGCAGAAGCAGCCGTGGCAGAGGTAGTGTGCCTGTAGCACACAAAACCAAGCACAGGACAGAGGAGGCACAAACACAACAGGATCCAGTGGCTCTGCCTCATCTCACTTGCAGGATGTGACGCACTGGGTGGAAGAGAGTTTCCCTTTTTTTTTTGGTTTAGCTCAATTTGATCATGAAAAGGCTACGTATAGGGTTCGCTGAGAGGCTGTGAAAATAACAGATCCTGGTGCTCCAATTTAATTTTTTCCCCTCATCCTCTTCTTGAGCATCTCTTTGCAGTATCTATGACAGGAATGTCACAGCTGCTTAGCAAGACCACGGAGGGGCCACTGCGTGCATGAGTTAAGTTACATGGTGGAGTGCACTGCCTATAATTATAGATTGCATTCCTGCACCCTTCTAAGCAGTAAAGTGTTAACAGGGTCAGACAGCAAAACCATATGTTTGTTTTACAGTAGCTCTGGGGTGATCCAGCCCAGGCACATTTAAAAAAATGCTTAGACCGTAAACTGGAAAGTGCCAGATTCATGGATTTTTAAACTTGCCTGCATCTTTTTTTTCCCCCTCATTTCCGATCATTTTGTTTCTCGCAAACAATCAGAAGATTTCTCAGTCAGGAAATGGAACAGGTCGATGCCCCCGTCCCCCGTCGCGCGGCGTGTGGTCAGTCCCTCATTGATCTCCTCCTTCACCGTGTCAGGCGGCGTGTGGGATTAGCCTGATCGCTCCCCCGACAACCCCCGAAACATCAATAGCAATACCCGGCTGTAATTCAATCCCCGCTGTGGCGAGTGGGCCTTTTCACTCATGCCTCTTTCTAACTAACGGAGAGGACTCTGTGCTGTGGTAAAGCACAGCAAAACCACTGGGAAACACAGGGAGGCAATGAGGTTAAAGCATGTGCAAAACCGGGGGGAGACCTCTAGGCAGGTTTAACACTTGGCGTCCGTGTGGTGACAGCTTGCAGGTTTGCCCCGGTAATTCTACGGCATTACTGTGTTTGGGAGTTTCATCCGTTCCCGGCTGATCCCAAGACCAGAACGCAAAAGGCAGGAACAGGGATGAGCGGGGTCTGTCCCCGTCCTTCCGGGATTTTTTTTTTAACTTGTGTCTGTCTGCGTGTCCCCTTCCAGGAGCTGCCTGTCCTCGCGAGATCCCTACTGCATCTGGGTGAAGACCGGGACCTGCACCACAGCGGCGCCTGGATTCAAGTAAGAGACGCCTCGAACCCCGGTGCAGGACGAGCGACTGTGTGGCGTGGCCGTCCTGCGTGCCCGGTTTTCAGTCCAGGCAACATGCCGATTGTTATTCTCAAAGGGCTGTGCACGGCGAGGACGGATGATAGCGCGCGCTCAGGCCGCAGACGGAATAGATGTTAATGGACAAATAAAATGGCACAGACATTAATAACCGCGCTCTCGTTCGCTCGCACCGAGCCGGGCTGAAAAATCACACCAGTTGCCAAGGCGAACAGGTGATCGGTTGGCTTTATTATTGCAAGAGAAAAAAATCAATTTGCGGTCGGGCAGGGGAGGGGGAGGGTGTTATTAGTTTACTGGTTTTATTTGTATTGTGTCAGCACTCACAGTACTAGAGAGAGAAATATTCACCCCCCGTCCCTTGGCAGTAGTACCTCAGTTGAAGATTTTAACCAGTTCTGGATCAGATTTATTCATCTTATGAAATAGTTTCAGCATATTATTTTATTGACCAGAGTTGCTGGAAAGAAACCATTGTTACCAAGGAATACTAATTTGAAAAGTGTCTAAAAATCAAAGGCGCAGCTATTGCTAAAGGTGTGTTTTCCTTCTGCCCTGGAGTCGGAGATTAAAAGTCGCAGTCACCCATTCAGGGTTTGTTTTTCCCCAGTAGGGGCCTTATTTTCTCTGGCTTACTGCCTGAGCCTGGCTCTGTTCACCAATGTGTTAATTGAGCCTGGCCACTGATTGATGCATATGAAGGGCTTCTGGTTTGTGTTTTTAGTTTGACAATTCCTTTTAAACTGCGTCACTGGCCAACCAAGAGTTCAGCCACAGGGATTCATGACCCTTCTCTTGGAAAAGCAAGGGCTTCAGGTTCGTTGGCCCGACAGACAGGACATCACAGTGCGCCAGGGATAAGGAATTCTTGGAAAGAGAAACAGCTCTTTCATTATCCTCCCATTCCCCTTTGCACGGTAACTGTGTCTGTCTGGATCCCAAACTGCATTGCAGTGCAACGTAAATTATAAACATCAGCCAGAAAAGGGCTGTTGCAGATTTAGGACTGAACATTTGCTTACAGTCCAAGCACAGTCACATACCTCCCACCCTCCTTCTTTGCAGAAATACACAGACGAAAGCCTGCTGTCAGTCTGTGGCGCGCAGGTGGAAAAAGTATAATCGTTTAATTTAGGCTTCTTAAATTTCGCTTTTTGTATTGTACGTTGTTCTGTTCTTCTGTCCCCATATCTGTGACCTGTTCCTACCTTTCAGTTTGGACCCTTTGTGTTGCGATCAGTGAAGTAGGCTGTTTTTCTGTAATATATTTAAGTTCTTTTTAACAACAAAGCTGTGCCCTCTGCACAGCATTGTTCAGGAGAGGCTGTGTAGTGGGATGATGAATAAATCGCAATCTGTTTTATGGGCTTTCTACTGGCTCAAGAGCTAGCAGGCGAATATAGAAAAACAGCCGAAGGAAGAAAGATGTACAAATGCCTTGACCGACAAAAATCAAGATGGAGGTTGTGCCAAATCTTTAAAAGTGTTTCAGGGACTTCCAAGTAAGGGCACTAATTCAGAGGGAGTTCTGGGGCCAAATGTCCAGAGATCACTGGTCCAGACTGGACTAGATCAGCTAGAAGGGAGAACAGGGTCACTGAGGTTAGGAGAAACCAAAACTAATATCACGGCAAAAAAAATAATACATTACTGAGAGATGGTGTAGTATTTTTAAATGACAAAGAATTCCCAGTTTGCACCAGTGAACCTTCCCCTCACACAACTGAAAGGCGCACATGGACAGGGACACCCATGGAGATGGAATGGGGGATACTCCTTGTATCCACCCCAGGTATTGTGGGATAGTGGTGTTGCCTGGTATTGTTGTGGACTATTGGTGTTACCTGATGCTAAGGGAGTTTGTTCCTTTGACTTGGGGAGGTGGGGCAACAATTATGACCAATGCAGATGTTTTTGGCAATGCAATGCAGGGGCACCCCATCCTGTTCCAGGTGCCCCATGTTTCCCAGCACTTCCTTAACAAGACCTGAAGGACAGCTCCAATGACCTGACCTGCTGTCTTCCTCTCTCTCTCTAAATCAGGGCCGGCTTCGAGCAGGACATCGAGAACGGCTACACCCAGCACCCGGACAGCTGTCACGGTGAGCAGGCCCTCCTGAGCTGTGCGTCTGACATGCTACCCCTGAGGAGTCCTCTCCTCCTCTTGGACCACATCTTCTTACACCCCTAAAAATGAATTTGATTATTCGCTGGTTTGTCTCTTCTGTAATTCTTCTTGGTTGCCTTTCTATGTTTGTAGATGTCCTGGCTACCACTCGGAATCAAATTCCTGCGGTTGACTCAGCCTACGGTGAGTTCCTGTCTGACGGGCTGTCATTTTGACTGTTTTTGCCTTTGCTTTCCGTTGTGCCTCGTCCATTTGTAAAGGATAAGGAAGCAGATGAGTACCAGATTATTGCCAGTCACTGATGTTCATGCTCCAGACCCGTTCTCAAGGTTCTGACCCAGGAGATCCTGGGCATGCACGGTCCCAGAGTAAATACAGACCATTGAATGTTTAAATCCCAGGGTGGTGTGACCTTTCAACCTTGCATTAGGTGGGGCGGCTTGTGGTGCCATAAACACAAAAGCATGCATGTGAAATGGCCAGCAGGCTCCACAGAGCAACTTGGAGCCCAGTAATGCAGCGAGGAGTTGCTCTCTGATTTCGTATGTCGCTGTGAAACACTTGGCTGTGAAACGGGTACTTATTTTATGACAGCTCTTACTGTAGTGTTTATTATTTACTTAGCAATTAGTTGTGTTTTAATTTATATTTATGCAATTCAATATTTATGGAGCGCAATGATATGAAAAAAAGCTTTTAAGGTGAAAATTATACAGACATCATTGCTCTAAGCACCCTCAAAACACACACAAGTGTGCATACTGGTCCATTTCCTCTTGGGGTTGTGGGGATCCTTCACTATAATTATAAATCAGTCATCTCAAACACTAAAATTTGTGTGTTTGTGGGGGGGGGGTGTTCGAGTCTTGCAATTTCTGCTTGCATTTTGAATTCCCACTGCCCCCGATCCCCAAATTGAAAACGGGGCAGCCACAGCAAAGTGGATGTCGCCGAGGTTGAAAGATCACTCCGGTGAGGTGGGCGCTCCAGGGCGCTGGGGACACGCGCCATTCCGTTCCGCGGAAAACCACGAAAAAACGAGCAGGCGGGAGACTTCCGCATTGCAGCTCAGCGCCTTTTCCATCTTCCTCTGCCATTCGCCTCCCGTAGTGTGGATCCGGAGCGCTGGTCGCTCTGCGCATTCCTTCCGCAAGGCGTGGTGGTCTGCCGGTGACACGCACGCTGACAGCTATGTCCGGCATGTGGCCACAGGGCTCCACAACAGAATAACAGCCCTGCAATTAGACCCCCGGGGCTCTTTAGAAGGAGCGAGCCGGCGTGCACAAGCTCCAGAGCGCAGGGCTGTTTCCATGAAGCCTGCGTGCGAGGCATCTACAGTTCGTACTGTGCGTTTGGCTCCTGTCGGACAGATCGGAGCAGATCGGAAATCAAGGAATGGGAAGCAGGCGCTCCAGAGCAGGATCTGTGAGCGTCCGCTCGGCTCGGGGTGGGGGGGGGCTCTGCCTGCAGAATATCGGAGGACCTGTAGCTGGAACTGGAGTCAGATTTTCAGATGGAACCAAAGGGAATCGCCAAGGTGTCAAAGAAGAAAGGAAATAAATCAGTCCCCAAGTTTCATGAAAAGATTAATTAATATTTAATAGATAGGAAAGCAATGGTAGTAAAAGGAAGTTGGACAGACTTTGCACAGAAGGTTTTATCTGTAGCTCCAAACACATTTCCACAAGTTAGAAATTCTAATTCCAGCTCTACTATTTACACCACAGGGCTGTATTATAGTCTTGGTGTTAAAGCCATCTGGATATCCCTCCCACTGGACCAATTCCTGTAGGGATTAAGGTTTGCCAGGTGTAAAAATCTTAGTCGGCCAGTAAGATTAGCTGACATTCATTTGCCTTTGGTCTCCCGCGCTCGAATGTGGGCTTGTCAAGGCGTAGACTGAATTACCGGGGCTGAAAAAAACGCGAGGACTTGGAGAGAGCGAGGGAAGAGTAAACCTACATTACCGTTCACACGATCCACACAGCATATAAGAGGCTTAACTAGAAATAACTGAAAATATCTGCCAGCAACGATGGTGGAGATGATAGTCGGCCGCACAGGCTCTCTTCTTCCTCCGCGGGGGAAACAGGAGAATCTTATAGTTCAGAAAGGCCCAGTGAATTTTTTTTTTTGTTGGAAGTCACCTTGGCACAGGAGGAAGGGTTGTGTGGTGTTCAGATGGAGCACAGAGGGCGCCCCCCTGCAGGTCGCCCTCTGCATTGTCGCCCGGTTCTCGGCAAGCATCACAGCGAGGATTCAGGCGCTCATCTCCCTTCTTGTGGGGTTCTGTCCAGGGTATATAACAAAATGAAACCAGTAGCAGAAACAACAGCTGTCCTCCGTCAAGCAGGAGCCCAGATGCCCTGCAGTGGGGGTGTTGGTGAATTGGTTGGCACAGTGGGTAGTCTGCCGGGGTGCCCATTTCTGAGCCGAACCTGGCAGCTGGAAATCAGGGTCTCTCTTGCACTCTAAATCAATCCAGGACAGACAGACATGACAGGCAGGGACCAAGGACCAACACAGCCTAGATCAGAGGACTTGAACATGCTTCTGTTGGTCTGAAATCAAAGCTTTTTGTTTTGTTTGTTTTTTATTAAACTTTGGAGTCAAAGACCTCGGAGGGTGGGGAAATAAGAAGCCGAGCGCGGTGTCTGAGAAGAATTGAAGGCCTTATTGAATTTGGTGTGCTTTAAATTGCAACTGAAACGTTCATTTGAGACCCGTGCGCTCTCTGCCTTTTATATTGGGGGTAAAGTGCAGTCTGAAATACACGTACAGGCTTGTTTTAATGTCTTCCTGCTATCAGAGACGGGCTCTGTAAACAGCGACGAGAACGTGACTGTGATCTGAATGAGTCAAGCCTGTCAGCACGCCGCTTTCTACATAAAAGCGAAAGGCACAGTGCGGCAGAATGTGTTTCCACCGTGTCAGGGTTGTAAGAACAGAGCTGATGCACCAGACTGCTGGATTGGCGAGAGGGGCTGTGAATGTCTAGATGCTAGAAGAACCCAGACTTGGCAACTTCCAGAGGCCCCAGTAAGAATTTGCCTACCTGTTCAATTAGCATAGATAATGAGTTAATATCACCCCTTTTATAGGATATTAGGACCTTGTTTATGTCCTGTTTACTGCAACACCAAGTCTTCTCTCTATATTTATTATTGTTAGGTGACCATCTTACGGCCCCTTAGTAGATAGCTAATCAGTCCAGTGGCTGGGACGCAGGATTGGTCACCTGGATCTGTTCCCATTCCAAATCCTCTAGCTCTGCTCCCTCTTTCCTCATTTGTCCTCTTGGCACTGCCTCTGCTCCTCCTGTCTGAGTTTGCTGAACCCCCTGGTGCTCTGTCCTGCAGAGGAGACATCAGACTCTGTTTTTGTTCGTTCAGTGACCATTCGTTACAAACCCACAGAGGGATATGAAGGTTTGAGGTTCTCCTTTTATCAATGCATTTGCAGCCCAGTGTATACAAGCCAACTGCGACATTCAGGTTTGACGGCATGTGACACCAGCAGTCCAAGACATGGCACTAAGGTTTAAGCCAAATTCAATGTGTTCCATTTTTTGCTTTATTATGTTGTGTGAGAAAGATTGTCTGACTCCAAACTTGTCCCCCAATTCCACCCCGTTAACCACAGGAAAGACCACACCCACAAGCTTGAGCGCCACCAATCGGGGAGCGGATTTCCCAAAGGTCAAAGGTACCGGTCCGGATGGCCACTCTCCCATTGGTGGGGAGGGGTCACCTGACTCCGAGGAGATCAGTGTGGAGACGGAGGGTAAGGGCGGGGCTGTTCCTGTCTATCTAACTGGTGTGAGGTGTAACAACTGCACTGTGATGCACTGTGGGGCTAAAAGCTTAACTGTAGAGGACTTGAGGCTGGCACTAATGCTCTCCTGCGCCAAGAGCCAATAACAGACATACTGCTTAACCCTCTTTCCAAAAGAGACACACCCAGTCATACAGCGTGTAAAACACCAAAGCAAATTCACTGCCCTTTAGCAGTCTTCTGGCAAAAATAAAACTTAAGAGCACAATTGCAATGTGCAAATAAGATGAAAGGGGTGTGTTAACCAAGCTTTCATGGCCTCATCGATTCGCATCTCATCCTGACTTTTCTTGAAGGATCTTGGGGACTTCAACTAACATTGAGCTTCTCACCATCAACTCTGACCATTTATTTCTGGAAACTCCTTCACTCCTCAGATCTCCCCTCCCAAACATGAAACATGAAAACACGTGCAAAACCACCTTCAAGAGGAAATGGCTTGGGCGATAAGCGGTTGTGTTCAGTATGCAAACACAAGCAGTTCGCAAACAAAGCACACTGTAAATTTTCAATGGGGTCGGGAGTGCTCGTACACAGACCTGTGCCAGATCAGGCACTCTTGAAGTGCCCTGGTCCCGGCCCGCTCCCACAAGGCCAGACCACTCCACAGTGGAGCGGATCGGTGCCGCCCCCTGCTCTCCATCTGCTTTTCCCGTGCTGCTGTTTTACCCCGGTGCAAGCGCGGCCAAAAAGAAAAAATCGGCTGCCGCTGCTGGTCACTCCAACCCAACTCAGATCCGTCAGAGAAGTACAGCGGTGAGGGCTGTTTAGTTTAGTTTGTTTTTGTCGTTGTCTTTACTTATGGAGAGACGGTAATTTCTTCACTTCTCGAGCGGAAGCAAAGCTGTGAACTCTGCAGTCGCTGCTACTGTAAAATTGCACTCAGGGGGTTCTGCATTAAAAGCCAGAACCCACGCATCCGACACGCTAAGAGGATTCCAGGGCTTTGCTTTACATGTGTTGTTGTGATTTTTTTTTTTGGTATTTCCAGAGCCTTGGTTTCTGTATCTGAGGCTTGAGTGTTGTTTTTTTCTTGCTCTCCCTCTTAAATTCCGCTGTCTGCCCGCTGGTCGTGGGCGTATTCGAATGCGTACAGAGAGTGAACCCGAAACAACCCCCCCCCCCCAGCCCCTCGGAGCAGCGTACCGCAGCTCGCAGCTAATTTGGCCGAAGAGCGAGGCTGTCAGCAAGATAATGGAGCGTGTGAGGGCCCCGCGATTCATTAAAACGACAACCAAGCAAACAAACCAGAAATCAGAGCGGGGCTTGCGCTCTTCACGGGCCTGGCTGCCCTGCTGGATCTCCGAGGGGGCTCGCGATCGAGGCCCAGGAGCTGTGTGAGGGGAGGTTAATTTGCAAGGCCACATTTAGTGCGTCCAGCACGGTGTGGGTTAACCCTTTACGACAGGATGGCTTCTCTCCAGTCCTCATGGACTGCCATCCCAATAGGGCTGTAATTCCCATTCCCCCCTCAGTCCTTGTACTGGGGGTTGTGTTGGTGTCGACAGACAGCTGCCCTCGGGATTTCCCCAGCAGGTGGGGCGGGAGCTAGCCCTGGGGTCCCCCTCTGGCTGTCGGGCACAGGAATGACTCTCTGGGTGCTGGGGCTTGTTTCCTCAGTCCAGTCAGTGCCAACTCCTTGGAGGAGCATGGCAAGTGCGAGCAGCGCATCTGTATGCCGCGTCCCCTTCCGATGGTTTGGCCAAGAAAACGGCTGATTCAGTGGTCAGTGAACAGGAAGAGCCAGGACTTGGCTATCGCTGTACTAAGGTCTGATATTCCCCGTGAGAGGTACAGGAGTTGGAGCATATGTGTACAACCAAATTGGGCGGGTACAGAAATCGAAGTAGAAGAGATGGCCTTCAGAGCTGTAGAGGAGGTCTTCATTGGGCCAAATGAAGCTCGACAAAGCTGTTTCAGCCTGTCTCCTTGGGTCAGGAACCGCAGAACATCAGGGGATCCTGCAGGACTTCTCAGTGAACTGTTTGTGCTGGAATTGGCAGAAATCTTATAATGAAAGGCAGAAAAAAGAAAAGCAGCAGCAGCTGCTGCTTTAAGGCTCAAGATGGAGAGATGACTGGCATTAGCCAGTGCACGTGTTTGCAAAAGTGGATCATCGCCTTATCGTTTCTGCTGCACATGTTCGAGTCAGAAAGGCTACGTGTGACACCACCACTCGTTCCATACTCAGACATGAGCTCCATGGGTACGATTCCTGACTTGGTGATGAGAAGCTCTAATACACAGCTGGATTTTGCCGCCTACCCATTCAGAAGAATCAGAAGAGATTCTAATTCGGTGCAGTCCTAGCTGCGACAGTCGCAGCCGGCACAGGTACACACAGCTTAGACTTAACTCATCTGGGCCTGGTCACCAGCAGCAAAAGATTGGCCCCAAACTGAGGTAAAGTAGAGGGTGTGTCTCCAGCCATAACAGGGGTCGCTCACTGCTCTGTGAAGCTGTGAAGCACACTGAAAAATAGAGGAGGGACACCTCATTGAAACCGACTGCCCCAGGTCATTGTGGGAGTATTGATAAAGCACACCCTTATGATGTCCTTTTGGACATGGATGTTACTCCCCTCCTAGTCTAAAAACAAGGGTCAGGCTGTAATACAGGCCTCCTAACTCCAGATGTTTCTCCCTTCCTTTTGTAAAATATTTTAATATTGGCCACCTGTACCTCTTGCATCATGAACCAGCTTCACAGATGAGTGTCATGGTGTGAGGCAGCGTCAGGCCTCTTTTTCTTTAAGGGAACTGGGGGCACACAGGAACCACTTCCTGCCCACCGCCTCGGCAGTGATTGGCTCATCCCAGATTCACCCAAGCAGTGATTGGCTGAACCTGACCCCTTAGCGTGATTAGTGTTTCCGGAGGAAGGTTCAGGTGCAGAAATGCCTGCCTCCCATTGCCGTTACTGCGGACTTGTGGCGTGCTAACCACAGGAGCACTGGGGGAAAGAAGGAAAGTGGTCTTGCAGCTTTTTTGCCCCTTGGGGGAAGGTCTTTCACCCTTTGAAGAATCTGGGTAAAAGGATAATTTTCATCTCCCAGGTGGTTTTCAGGAACTATGGGAGGGTTGGGGCAAAAAGGACTGGGATTGGACTCCTCTGTCCTAGAGGGTTCCTGGGGTCTGTCAGTGCTGACGCCTGGAGCCTCCTGCATCAGTGTTAGCCCCTGAAGTGCAGGGAAAGCCAAGCCTTTTGCTGTTTTGTGTCCAGACCCTCCTTCTGTAACACTGATCCCCTTGTGGGTGTGGCTTTTTCCTCGTTAGGGATCTGCTCCTGATTAACCTGCAGTGTTCCAAGTTGTACTAATATGTCACCCCCCTCCATCTGTACCAAAAATCCCTCTCTTCCCCAAACCCCATGTCCCTTTCCCAGCTCTGACCTGACTTTACCGACTCGGCATTTTGCGGAGAACCCCACTCCCCACCCCTGCACTGCGACGCCCCCCCAGGCAAAACCCATTCATCGCTCAGCCAGCTGGGCTTGGCAGGTGCCTGCTATTAAGAGTAAATCACAGAAATCACAGGGAAAGCATGCTCTGGTTCCAGTGTTCATTTTCTGAATTGCTCAGGTGCACTCCTCGATTCTGAAAAACATTTTTTTCCATTTCTCCTGTCATTTCTGACCTTTATGTAGACGGCAGCGCAACCATCAGAGACAAATCTCATTCCCATCCTTTGGGAATAAAGGGAAAGGGGAAAAAAAAACGAACACCGCAAATATCAATAGAGAGCCTGAGAAGAGGCGAGACTGAGTCAAGGACTAGCGTACACATTGCAGCCTTAGATTTGCATGAAAGTAATAGAAATAAAAGATAAAAGGAAAGACATCCTTTTTTTTGCAAAGTATGGCCAACTAGTCCTCAAGTTGTTTTCTCACTCCAGGATCCAGTTCATTTTAATGAATTCTTTTTGTCTTCTGGGACTGTTAGAGGGGGCCCATTGCTTGGCTTGTTCTGCAGCAGATTTTCTGTTTTTTTTCCTTCCTGGCATCTTCATGTTTTTTTCACACATTCAACAAGGATGATAGATTTAAGCCGGGGGGGGGGATACATTTGCAGGCAGCTTTCAAGGGGAGACACATGAAAGCTTTTGAACCCCAAAGGTTTCCTTCAGTCCTCCTGAGTGGCAGGGACAATGAGAGAGAGGAGTACAGACTGGTGTGAGCTGGCTCTGCTCTGCTCTCCAGTCAAAAATGCAGAGCATCAGTGCAAGTACTTGTCCACTCCGCAGGCCTCAGCTTTCAGAAACGCCACGTTCCAAAGTGCTCTTTTCATGCTGACCGGTCACAGTAGCGCTACCTCACCCTGCCATGGAGTCACCCAGCTATTTTCCGTTTTACAATCTGTGAATGACGCAGCACCTGTTCCCAATCAGCCCAACTGAGAAGATGATCTGTTCCCCTCTCCCTTCCCATTAGCTGGCACACACAGGCCACCTGCGTCCGTTTGGCACTGCAGGCGTCCTCTGCTCTGCTGTTGGTCCAGTACTTGAGGGTGGCGCAGTGGTTCGTGCTGCGGTCTCGGAGCTCCTTGAGCTCTGGGTTCCAGCCCAGCGCGGGGTGTTGTCCTGTGTGTGCCGTTTGACCCCACAGGCACCCCATCCTTGTGCGTTTGGGCTCCCCTGGTTTTCTGAACAGCAGGGCTCACGTGTGCGCAGGCGTGCGAGTTCGCAACGCGCCCCTTCTCTTTAGCGTGGTTTCCCGGTTTGTCAGCGCCAGGATAACAAGGCGCTCTTTTGCAGCGAGGGGCAGCAGTCGCTTTAGTTACGCAACGCGGCGGCTTGTTATTTATAACGTGCCTGTTAGCAGCCTGTCACAGCACCAGGCTGTTTTTTCTTTGTACGTTGCTTTTACCAGCAAGAACTGTCAGAGGGCCCAGAATAGCTTCCTATGTGTCCCACAAGCCGTCTGTTTCACGGGGGAATGAGTTTAAAAATACT